CTTTTTAATGTTTTTGATTCTAGTCAAGTGCTGTTTTTACTTGTAAATGTGGATACTCATATATTACATTTTCCTACATAGTATAATTCTAGAAAGCTCTAGACCTGTAAAACTGAGGGTCTTTTGCATAGAATTTGAATGGAAATTTAAGAACATATGAGGGGGAAATAAAAAAATAAGAACAATTGAGGGGTAAATAGAAACATGTTAGGGAAAATGAGCTGCAGGGAAAATCAAACTAGTAGCCTATGAGAGAGCAGAAAACGTCAAGAGTGGGCAAGGGAAAATATTGAGATGGATCAAAGAATCTGACTGTTGTCAAGACACTAAAGCTTCTTGAAATTTGAATTCTGATTTACAGAAGAAGCAAGCACTGTCCATTGTGGTCCTTCATTTCTTAATTCAACAGGCTATGATGATGAACTTCGTAGGAACAAAAAAAAGTAAACGCCATCCACCAGGTCCTAAAATCAAGGCTTCCAATCAGTTCATTCTGCTGAGATTTTTCTTTTCCACCTAAGATACACTGAATCCCAAACTTAAAACCAAAAAGAATGACACATCTTTCTCCCATAGAGGAAGGTGATGGGTTTGAACTGTTGACTTTTTGGTTATGAGCCTAGCGTTTTAAGCACTGCAGCACCAGAGTTCCATACTGATTCAGAATCTCCAATAAGAATCACTTGAGGACCCTGATTCAGTAGTTCTGGGGTAAAAATGCAAATTCTCAGCAGGAGACGGAATGAAATCACTCAAGGCCTTGCCTAAAAATGTTTCCATTCTTTCAAAGTGCAAGCAGCTTATGAGATGAAGACATGTAGGAAAGGTACTTCCCCCAGTTGCTCCAGACCTACCTGAATCAGGAAATTAATTCTTTTTGTTATGTTCTACTGTGACATTTCAAAAACACACTTCTCAACATATAAAAGGAAGCTCTGTTATTTTAAGAACACTAATAAGACTATTGTGCTAATCAGACCAAAGATAAACTCTCCAATTGAAGATGGTTGAATGTGGGTACAGCTTTTCACTGACAACATTCAGTCCATCTGGTAAACTTGTCCAGACTGAATATGCTTCACTGCTACATTAAGAACTGACAAGAAACAGAAATCCATTCTGTATGAGGAGCAAAGAGAACACAAAGTGGGACCAATTACCAAGCGTAGAGGTTTGGGGTACAGTGGTATATTCGATTACAGAGTACTTATCACAGAGCTGGGAAAGTAGCTCAGCAGTATTACCTTGTCTACCAAGAGCCCATTCCCACAGCACAGTTGGTTCACGGGGAAGCTTCTGTGATGCAAGGATATACTCAGTTAGTTGTGTGGGTGGTGTGTGTGCATTTGGGGTTTCTCAACTTATCTGTGGTTGGAATGAAGGACAATCTTACTTATTCTAGTCAGATCCATCCGGAGCTTATTTTGCCTGGAAAGCAACAGCAATGGGAAAGAACTATGTGGATGGGAAAACTTTCCTGGAGAAAAGACACAATGAAGATCTTGAACTTGAAGACGCCATGCATGCAGCCATCTTAACTCAAGGAAAGCCTTGAACATAACATAGAAGTTGGAATCTGAAATGAAGCTGGATTTAGGAGATTTACTCCAACTGAAGTTAAAGATTACTTTGTTGCCATACATTAATAATGAAGTGTTTGAATAATCTGGAATTTCGGATAATTTATCTATTTAAGTATAAGTGTGTTTCCTTTTTAAAAATAAATGTTAATCAACTGCTGATTTTAACCCTCCCCCCCAAAAAAAAATACAACACCTAAAACTTATAAGTTTGTTTTGGAATGCTTTACGTTACTTTCTTCTAATTCTCAAAATTTTTCTATAACTTCCTCATATTAAAAACAACAACAACAACAACAAAACAACTTGCTAAGGCAATTAGATCCATGTGAAGATTTCTATGATTAAATGTTGGCTTAAAGAATAAAATTATGATAATATAGCTTAGCTTCAACTAGCAATGTTTTTCTGAAACAATACAAAAGGAAAAAAACAGATTTCTTAAACAGTATGTTGGATCTTTCAGGTTTCAGAAGACAGTTACACAAAAAGTTTACAATCCATTTGTGATATTATTTCATATGCATAAAAAAGATAAATGCCACCATGAAAAAAAATCCCAAAAATAATATCTATCAATGGTCCCTAACAACATGCTCCCCCTCTTTTCTTTTCCTTTTTTTAAAAAAAAAACAACAAACAAACATGCTCCCTCTTAATGAGCTTTGGCAGCACAGAGACTGACCAAAGGCTGGTGACTTGAACTTAGCAGTCTCTCCGCAGGTGAGGATGCAGCAGTTCGCTTCCACAACAATATCCTAGTCTTGGAAACACTACGGGGTCTGAGTCTGCTCTGGGGTTAGAATCAAAATAGATTCTATGACCATGGGCTTAATTTGGTTTATTCTTTCCCTTAGGAAGAAAGACTTGACAACATATTAGTGAAAATTAACCAATGAAAACCCTATGAATCACAACGGTCAGATCTTGGGGATGGCACAGGATTGAACAGTATTTTACTGTGTCTACCTCAATACCAGATCATAACAAACTGTGGCTGACTCTGAGAAGAATGGGAATCCCAGAACACTGGTTGTTCTAATGCGAAACTTATACTTGGACCAGGAGGCAGTCATCAGAACAGAGCAAGGGAACACTGCACAAAATTGGGAAGGGCGTACGCCAGGGATGCATCCTATCTCCATACCTCTTCAACCTATATGCAGAACAGATTATCCGGGAGGCTGGGCTCTATGAGGAGAAATGTGGGGTCAGGATTGGTGGACGATTTATCAACAATCTGCGTTATGCGGATGACACAACCCTGCTTGCTGAAACTGAGGAGGACCTGAAGCACCTGCTGCAGAGTGTCAAGGACTGCAGCCTGCAATATGGATTGAGGCTCAATGTCAAGAAGACAAAGATTCTCACCACTGGACCAATCGGCAGCATCAGGATGGATGGTGAAGAGATTGAGATTGTACACAGCTTTAGTTTGCTTGGCTCCATAGTCAACAGTCTTGGCACCAGCAGCCAGGAAATTAAAAGGCGCATTGCCATGGGAAAGTCTGCTGTTAGGGACCTCTCCAAAGTGCTGAAGAGCAGTGGTGTCTCTCTGGAGACTAAGGTGCGTCTGATACAGGCCATGGTCTTCGCAATCACCTGTTATGCATCAGAGAGTTGGACAATGACCAAGGAGGATAGAAGGAGAACTGATGCCTTTGAGCTGTGGTGCTGGAGAAGAGTACTGAGAATACCATGGACTGCTAGGAAAACAAATAGATTTGTCCTGGAGAGGGTTAAACCAGGTGGCTCCTTGGAGGCAAGGATTCTGAGGCTCCGTCTAACTTACTTCGGACATGTAGTGAGGAGAGACCGGTCCTTGGAGAGGGACATCATGCTTGGGAGGGTGGAGGGACGGCGCAGGAGAGGAAGGCCCTCTATGAGGTGGATTGATTCAGTGACTGGGATAATTGGGATGGGAGTGTCAGAGACAGTGCGATTGGCACAGGACAGAGCGGAGTTTAGGGCTGTTGTACATAGGGTCGCTATGAGTCGCAGGCGACTCGACGGCACATAACAACAACAACAACAACCTCAATACCATGAGTAAAGAACTAACTTGTTTTACCACTTGTTAGGTTAGGTGCCATTGAGCTGAGTATGACTCTTAACAACCCTATGAATAACAGATTTGAATCTGGCCCTATGCTATGCTATCCCATCATCTCTGCCACACTGGCGTCCATTGTTACAGTCACAGTGTCAATCCATCTCAACAAGGGTCTTCCCCTCCTTGGCTAACCCTCCACTTTTCTGTGCATGAAGTCTTTCTTCAAGGACTGGCCTCTATTAACAACATCCCCATAGTATGTGAGAGGAAGTTTCACCATCCTTCCCACTAAGGAGCATCCTGGCTGCATTCTCTTCAAGACATACTTGTGCATTCTCTTGGCAGTCCACGGGATATTTAGTGTTCTTATCCGCATAGTCGAGAGGTCAGAAGTCATGCTGTGAACCCAAAGTCATGTGGTTCAAATCCACCAGCTGCTAAATAAAGAGGGGCTTCAGTCCTTTTGTTCATAGGGTCATTATGAGTTTTGCTCAACTCAAAGGCAATCAACAACAACAATAAAAACCCACAGAGATTCAGCTCTGAGTCAGTTATGACTCAAAAGCATTTAACAACAACATGTCTTTTATACATATTAATATGCTATTCTCAAAGGGAAACCACTCCAATGCTATGTCAGATGAAGAATTCCTATGATAGCACTTGTACATTATTATTAGAAACTTGTTTCTTAAATTCAACTTTTGGCAAAATTAATGTGAACTATGACACAGAGAAAAACGAAATTGGAAGAGTGAGGTACAGCAATGCACAAATAAAAGTTAGGGTTGAAAGCAAACTAGATTCAGATGCTTTTCAATAAATCAATAGTAATATATGAAATATCTAGCATGGATAGGGAGCTCTGGTGGCCTAGCGTTAATGAGCTACACTGCAATCCCAAAGGCATACAGCTCAAATCCACCAGCTGCTCCATGGGAGAAAGATGGGCAATCTCTTCCCATGCAATTAAACTGCCTCTGAAAACCTGGTGGAGGACCAGCTATGGGTTGGTTCTAACACCACAGTATACAACAAGAAGCAGCAGCATGGATAGAAAACATAGAGAAGGAAAAGGGTAGAATTAGACAAGGTCATCCCCATGACGGGTTTTAGAATCAGGGAGTTTGAATTTTGGCTCCACTAGACATGCACCTCTTGTAAATTTCTTAATCTCTCCACACCTCAGTTTCTCAATCTGTGAAATGAGGATAATAAAACCCACCCCAAAGACTTTTCACGAAGATCGAATTTAATGAGACTAACCTAGAAAATGTCTCCCATTAGATGTCAAAGAAGTTATTTCTTTTCCATTGTATACTGTGAAGAAAGTTTTTATCTTGTAAGGAGTAAATGCAGCATTCTACCTGGAAAGGGCCTGTCCTCATCACTCCTGTGTGGAAGAACTTCCTTATTTTCTGGCATATACTTCTTGGTAATGGGCAAGGACATCAGCCGGATGTGATGGATGAGTGAGCGCCAAGTGTGAGCTCCTGAAAGCACTGGTTCAGGTGGTAATGGGCTGAAAGGTTGAATCACAAAGTAGGCAGTGAGCAAGATTAACCCCAGGGTCACAAGGACCTACAAGGAAAGACAAGGAAAGGATTAATAATTGTCCCAGCAAACAAAACACTGCAATGCCAAGAAAGCAAAATATAAATCCCTTTTACTATCCCTAAAGTGCCTCAAGAACTTATCCATTTTCATAGACACGTTCACATCTGAAAGCATCTCATGTGTGATAATTATGACAGCAAGGATCACTAAGCTTCTATCATATGATCAGGGGCTATGTCCTCCTTTTGAAAATTCACACATATACATATATAATAAAGGTTATGGCCTAGTGGCAAGAAGCTGCACTGCAACCTCAAAAGTATGTGGTTCGAGGCCACCAGCTGCTCTGCAAGAGAAGGATGGGCAATCTCCCCCCATGCGATTAACTGCCTCTGAAAATCCACCAGGAGGTCAGCTATGGGTCAGTTCCAACTCGATGGTATACAAAAACAATAATCTTAATTATAAATACATAGCTTTCAATTAGGATGTGTGACCAAGTAGCCAAATTTTCTAGTAATACATAATAGTAAGAGTGAAAGCCAATTCACTGACAGAAAAACAAAAGTTCAATGGTAGCAGTCAATATTTTGGAAAGAAAGTTGGACAGTTTGTGCTTTATTTCCAAATGAGAACATACTTTGTTGTTTACCTTATATAGAGCTATAAGGAAAGGATACTGGGGTGGTCCCCTCTGGGGTTCATTCTTTTCCAGCAGTTGTCTGATAAATTTTTCAATCGCCTTCTCTGACATGCCACACTGATGGCCTGTCTGTCTCACCAAATCAATGGTCTCTGCAAGTTTGTCATAAATGCTGAGTTCATTGGCGGCAAGATCCATGTTTTCCCATAAAAAATCCCTAAGAGAGAGAGGAAAAGAAAATAAATGTAAAAGGAAAGGCGTTTCTTTACAGTGCTTCCTCCTCAAGTAGAACAGTTCTTCTTGACCTGTCTGTGGAAAGGGCCATCCTTTGGTCCAATCCACTACAGGCAGGCCAACGTTTCTGTAAACCAGATAAGTATGTTGTGACAAGGTGGATCTGCTGTATGAGTTTTTAAGTGTTATTTAATTGTAGGTTAGTAACATATGGATTAAGTCATCCATGTGTCTTCGTGGTAAAAAGCTACACTGCAATTCCAAAGGCACACGGTTCAAATCCATTAGTTGCTCTGTGAAAGAAGGATGAACAATCTCCTCTTGTGCAATTTACTGCTTCTGAAAATCCATTTGGTTCTGACTCGGTGGCTTACAACAACAATGGCTCAATAGTTAATCTTTGGATGCGAAACAAAACATTGGCAGTTCAAATCCATCAGTTATTCTGCAGGGAAAAAAAGACCTGGCAATCTGTTCCCATAAAGATTTCAGCCCAGGAAACCCAATGGGATAGTTTTATGACCTACAGGGTCTCTCTGATACATAATTTGAGGGGCACCCAGCATTTAGTTCAGAGGCCAGCAATGGTTCCTAAATATATTTTGAGAAATGGAACAAGGAGAGTGTTGCTGATCAATTATTTCTTTCCAGTGTAGTAGATAAACCATTTAGCAACACAAAATTCATTGTCATTGAGTCAGAAACATCTCATAGCTGAGCTGAGGCTGTAAATTGCAAGGGAAGAAATTGTCCATCTTTCTCCCAAGGAGTTGCTAATGAGGTAGAATTGCCAGGGAGATATAAAATTTGGATTACAAGCGCAACTCCCTATAGGCTACACCATCAGAGTGTGAACACAAGAGTCACCAACAGCCTGAGTAAAAATTTCCATCAGTACAAAAACCATGGTAAATCTCACTACTAGGTATATAACCTAAAGAAGTAGGAGCTGCAACATGAACAGATATAGGCATAGCCGTATTCACTGCAGCATTATTTACAAAAACAAAGATACATAAACAACTCAAATGTTCATCAACAGCTGAATGGACAAAGAAATTATACACTATGCTACACTAAAGAATAATAAAGAATTAGAGAAACATTGCATTACATGGGTGAACTTAGAGACTATTATGCTGTATGAAGTCAGTTAATCACAAAAAGACAAGTAATGTATGGTTTCACTCTTATTAAAAAGCTAAGGAAAGGTTTGTATGCAGAAAGAATCTTTCTTGCAAGGTTATTAGGGATATGAAGAGAGGGAGAAGGGAGTAAAAATTAGTGAACAGAAAATAGACACATATTAAGATAGGTGAAGGAAAAGACAATATACAGTAAGAGGATGATCCTCACAACACAGTTAAAGAAAGGAAAGATGCAGATGGAGAGCTACATGAGGAAAACAGTCAACAAGACACTATTACACACACAATCCTACAACATCAGCAATAATAAATGTTCATCTACAAATGAATATATAGACAGACAGGCAAGGCAAATAGATGGGTGAAAAGGAATACATTCATACCATATATGCATTTGGCAGATATTATTTCCACATTCACATCTATATATGCTATATATCCGCATATGTCGCAGAACCAAAGGAGCAATGTTCTGTAAGCTTTTTAATCATAACCAAACACCTTGAGACAATAAATGGCTGACTCTGGGGTCTTGGGGGGCATAGACTTGGGAGACATCAAGGTCAAATGGCATAATATAGTTCTCAAAGACAATGTTCTACATTCTACTGATGAGTAGTGACTGTAAACTTAAAAGCTTATGATCAGCGATCCATAAAAAGTGCAACTACTGGACTCTTCCTTTCTAGAACAAAGAGAAAGAAAAAGCAAAGCTGTATAGAAACAGTTTAAAGGACTAATGACCACATGAATCTCAACTTCCAAGACTCTGAGACCAGAAGATCCAGATGGTGCCCCACTAAAAAAGATCAAAGTAGATCCTGGATGTTGCTGTTGTTAGGTTCTGTTGAGTCGACTACAACTTACAGTGATTCTATGAACAACAAATCAGAAACTAAAATATGAAACAAAACTTAAAAAAAATTTTTTTAAAGGTCAGGCTTACTGGTCCAATAACGAGGTAAAAAAGAAGTACTGGCAAGAAGCAGCATTGCAAAACCAAAGGCACACAGTTTGAATCCACTATCTGCTCCGCGGGAGAAGAATGGGTAATAGCCTCCCATTCTATTACTGCCTCTGAAAACCCACCAGAGGGTCAGCTGGTTTGGTTCTGACTCGACAGTACACAACAACAACAACAACATGGATTTTAGTTACCCTTCAAACTTGGACCAAAGCTCAACTTTCAGCCAAATAATACCTAGGTCTAGGTGAGGGCAGGGAGTAACCAATCGTCCAGGACAAAAGAGCTGCACGTGCCCAAAGATAAAGTGAAGACAGCAGGAAGGAGGAGGATAGAAGAAATAAGAATTACAGGAAGGAAGTGAGGCAAGTCCCATCACATTGTAAGTGCTATGATTAATGTTATAAAGCAAAATCTGTATTAGTGTATTAAAGAGAAAGCCAATTTACTTTGTAAACTTTCACTCCAATTACAATTTTATTTTTTTATATAAATAACAACCATAACAAAAATACCACAAAACCATAGCATGGGGCTTTTTAGACTTTCCCAGGTGCAGTAATGCTTCTCACGTACAATTTCAGACAATTAAGAGCAGTTTATTTTTATTTTACAGGTTTTAAAAGACCTAAGATTTCTAATTAACTTCAAGTGAATTCACATTTTGTTCTCACAGTTCTTTTAGTGTCAGATTGTTTCACATTATCTATGGAACCAAAAAAACCATCCAAGTGGCTAAGTATCATTTATATAATAAAATAGTTATTCTGAAAAAGTGCTTGAGTTACATAATATTTTTCTTCATGGGCAGGAGAAAGGACTGCTTGACTTTTATTAGCTCTTTCAGCTGGACTTTTTTTTTTAAATACAGAAGGCTGGCTGCCTGTTTTTATTTCTATATTTTTAACTTGTGATTTGAAAGATTGCATATTGAATTGGTTTTTAATTCAATCATTTACACATATTTTGTTTTATAATAGTATTACACCCACAATATCACTGCATTTTAGCCACTCCCTTCTTGTAATTCTCATTTCTATTAATCTTCCTATTCTACTCCTTGGCCTTTGGGTTTTAAGAAGGTTTTCTATTTCCATTTCTTTCACTCCTAAAGTGCTCCTAGGAGCCCTGGTGGTAAAGGCCTAAAGCACACAATTGCTAACAAAGAGATCTGAGGTGGATCTGAACACACCAGTGTCCCCAGGGAATTCCATAAGGATTACAGCCTTGGAAACCTGTTGTTATGTTGTTACGTGCTGTTGAGCTGACTACAACTCATTGAGCCCCTATGAAGAACAGCCGTGAACCTTGCCCTGTCCTGAGACAACCTCACTGTCTTTGACACACTTGACCGAACAGCCACTGTCTCTGTGTCAATCCATCTCATCCAGGGTCGTCTTCTCATGTGCCCTTCCTCTACCCTTCCAAGCATGATGTCCTTCTCCAAGGACTGGGAATTCTGTAGGGCAGTTCTAATCTGTTCTACAGTACAGCTACAACTTTGAATAGACAAGGCAAAGGGTTTGGTGTGTTTGTTTTGAAAGTGCTTCGAACCTCAGAAAATCACTAAGGGTGTATGTATTCTTTCTGAAGGAGATGCTGCCACCTATTGGGGAGAGGACAGCAGAAACCTCTAACCCTAACTAGCTGCCCTTGCATTGATTTAGATTCATAGAGACCCGCCATCAGGTTCCCAAGGCTGTAAACCTTTACAGGAGAAAATATGCCCATCTTTCTCCTACAGAGTGACTGTGGATTCGAAATGTCAACCTTTTGGTGAACAGCCCAGAATGTTATGTAGCACCTTATCATGATGGTTCCTTTCTTGGAGAAAAGGAGGCCTGCAATCTCACCAGCTAACCTACCCATCTCCTTTCCCAGCAGTAAGACCCCTTCTGCTTGATCCTCTTAATGACTTTGAGTCATAATGAGTGCACCCTTAGTGGGCACTAGTACTCAATCTTTCCTTCACCTTATTGTTGTTATGTGCTGTCGAGTCCTGTGCAATCCTTTATACAAGAGCCCTAAACTCTGTTCTGTCCTGTGCCAACCTCACTGTCTCTGACACACCTACCCTCATTACCCCAGTCATTAAATCAATGTGTCTCATCGAGGGTCTCCTCTCCTGTGCTTTCCCTCCACCCTCCCAAACATGACGTCCCTTTCGAAGGACTGGTCCCTCCTTGCAACATGCTCAAAGTATGTCAGACTAAGCTTCAGAATCCTTGCCTCCAAGGAGCATCCTGGTTTCACCCTCTCTAGCACAAACCTGTTTGTTCTCCTAGCAGTCCATGGTATGTTCAATACTCTTCTCCAGCCCCACAGCTCAAAGGCAACAATTCTCTTTCTACCATCCTTAGTCATTGTCCAGCTCTCTGACGCATAGCACACAATTGTGAAGACTATGGCCCAGATCAGGTGCACTTTAGTCTCCAGCCTGACGTCACTGCTCTTCAGTATTCCGGAGAGGTCCCTGACATCTGACTTTCCCAATGCAATTTGTCTCTTGACTTCCTGGCTGCTGATACCAAGAGTATTGATTGTGGAGCATCTAAAGGCAAACTTGCTGCTATGGAGTGGATTCTGACCCATGGCACCCTCCAAGGTTATAAATCTTTATGGAAAGAGACTGGCCATCTTTATCCCATGGAGCAGCTGGCAGATTTGAACCACTGACCAATAAGTTAGCAGTGCAACATACAACACTCTATACCACCCGAGCTCCTTAGAATCACCCACAGAACTTTTAATATCTGTTCATCTCTGTCCCAATTTGTACCAATTAAATCAGAACCAAACTTCTAATGATATAATAGATGGTGGATAATTTGGATGAGACTAATGGTTAAGCTTGGAAGTAGGAG